TGCCCTACCATAAGCAACACACTGAATTCTAGCATACCAACAGACCTGAAACCAATGATTAGAAGAAACATTTATACCTTTAATCTTTCTGATAATGGTTTATCAGAAACCACTTCAAGTACAGAGGTATTTGAATCTTGACTATTCATACGAGCTACTGTGGCACTGCTAACAGTTCTCTGCTTGCCAGCTCTTATTGCAATCACATGTTCAGAGAGTAAGTGATCATGGTCCTCATTTGGAGTGTCTAGCAGGATAAAGACCAAGTCAAATCTGGACAATAGGGCACTCCCCATTCTAAGAGGCATGAAAGAAAGAAGAAACAATGAGTGGGATCTAAATAAACAATAGAAACCTTGTTTACTAAGCAGAACTTAAGAAATCAAGCTTTAGGTAAAAGAAATAAATAGCTTTTGGATTTCATACACCTGACCACTCCAGAAACACTAGGCTACTATCCCTTCAATGTGTACTAAAGGCCTATATGCAATGACTCTCAGTAAAGGTAGCGGGCACAGGCCTTTCCCATACCATCAAAACCACTGAATTCTACTTTAGGTTTTCTTACCAAAACATTACAATTAGCTTTGCAATGATTTAGGATCTCTTAATTTTTAAGTTGGCGTCCTGACGCGGCACTGTGGGTTAATGCACTGGATTACAAAGTCACTTCCCACCGCAAGGTCAGCAGTTCAACTCACCAGTTGCTCATTAGAATAACTATACAGGGTCCCTATGGGTCGGAACTGACTTGGCACTTAATAACAAATTTAAGTTAGAATGCCAAAGGACATACCAGAGGTTATCTAGTCAGGTAGTTCTCAATCTTTTATTTCTATCTCTTGTCTCTATAACAATGAACTTTTCAAAGTATTTGTGTATCATTTCAAAGCAAAAAGTTCAGTTTCACTTGAAAAAACACAGCTATTCCTGTATGTCTGCTAATCCTTGTTGTAAAATGCTGTATCCTACTTAGTCACCTGCGGTCCTGGTTTGACGCTATAAGATAGGCACTGGCCTGCTAAACACAAGTTGTTGGTTCAAACCCACCTGTCACTGCTCAGAAACCCTATACAGGGTCAATATGAGTTGGAACTGACTCAATAGCACATAACAACAACTTGGTACAACAGTACAATTAAAACCCAGAGTCAAAATCCCCTGAACCCCTTGTTCAATAGGATTTTTCTTATGACAGCTCTTTGTCATTTTATCATGATAACCTACTAAATAGATTGGACTTTTTTGGTAATGGAGGCACAAAAATATCCAAACTCTCAAAGTAAAATGAAAAAAAAAAATCTTCCTTTGGTCAATTCCTAATTTTCACAGAATGAAAATTATTCCATAATAAAGAATTATTTCTAGTTTTCTCCAGCAATAGCACACAGCAGAACTGCCCCACAGGGTTTCAAAGTTAGAAATCTTACTGAAGCAGACTGTCACATTTTCTTCCCACAGAACAGCTGGTGGATTTGTTGTGTTTTCTTGTAGTTTGGGTAAAAATTTCAGACCATATTAGTTTTTCATTTAAAAATTGATACACATTTTGTTTTGTGACAATGGAGGTAATCCTCTCAATGTAACAGCATTTTTCCACTTCCTCCCAGGGTTCTCTGTTTTCATTGATCCTTCTTCCTTGCCCCTTCTTGCCTTCTGAAATTTGTTTTGGGGCAAATGCTGCCCTTTTGGTCTCATATGGTTGGTTGTATTAAGGAGTACATTCCTCCCTGGTGTTATTATTCACTTTAGTCCTGGTGTGCTGCCGTAGAGTAAACACTAGACTGCTAACCACAAGGTCAGTGGTTCAAACCCACCAGCTACTCCTTGGAAACTCTATACTGGGTAACTCTGAGTTGGAAACTACTCAAAGGCACTTATCAACAACTGTTTGGCTGAAAGTTCAGCTCCAGGAGTGGGTTCAGTTCCAGGTGATAAGGTATTTTCAGGCCACAATCCCAGGGATTCCACCAGTTTCTATCAGACCAGTGGGTGTGGTCTTTTTAGGGCTTTTGAATTTTCTCTTCCCTCTGTCCAGAACTTTCTATCTTGATCCTATTTAGAGTAGTTGGTAGTGGTCGTAAACACCATCTAGATTTTCTGACCTCTAGGTAGTGTACAGGGTCGCTAAGGGTCGGACCCGACTCGATGGCACTTAACAACAACAACAACAACAACAAAGGTAGTGGAAGCTGTAGTATGTATGGTCCTTTGGACTAACTGTTTCCTTGAGTTCAAAGTACAATTATGTATTTTACTAAGCATCCAAGATTTTTTACATTAAAAGTATAAATCATTAAACATTATATAAATTCATTTTTTTCACTCGCTAGACTTAATGCTCCAATTTTTCTTTGAGGCACTCTTTCTCAATTTCTCATTGCCAGAAGCTACTTTTCCCTTCCCATATATTTTTGTCCAATTTGTACAAAACAAATTAAAAGATGCATGGATATATAAACAATGATGCTGAAAAAAATGGGATTATACTACATTACAGGTATGTACGTGCTCTTTCCAATTAGATGAGAAGCACAGACATCTTCCCTATCAGTATACATTAACCTACTTCATTCTTGTAGCTTCTACTTTCCCCTGCATAGTGTAGCACACTATATTATTTCCCTGGAGTCAGGCGTTTTCAGTTATTTCTAATGTTTGACAGCTGTTATGAATTGAGTCCCCTCAAACAGTTACGTTGACGTCCTAACCCCTGTACCTGTTTGGAAGCATTAGTTTTCATTGGCTGTGTTAATAAGTGTGCAGGAGTGTGCAAGGCAGGCACTAAACCTGGTCCCTTCTGACTAGTGTCTTATGAAATAGGAAACAGATGGGGAGTGTGGTGGAGTGAATTGTTTCTAGTCTTACTCTTTGTAACTCCCACCAAATAACTCTTTTCCTGTTGGGAGACAACATGAGAGGATGACATGATTCAGCTGTGGATACTAACATAGTTAACTGTAACTGAAACTCTAACACGGGTTTAAAATGAGCCACCTCAGTAGGAGGGGGGGAATCTAACTACCATCAGAGAAGAGTATCCTTTGGACTCAGAGATCTTTGCACATGGAACCTCCTTGACCCAGGGACACCGGAAGAGTGACAGAGAAGCAGCAGCAGCAGAACCAAGAACAAGAGCCTGAGACCGAGCAGAGGGGTTCCCAGCTCACAGAGCAAAGAAAGCTGAGTGACTTGGGGCAGGAAGATGCTTGCAGAGTGGGGTGCCTCCAACACTTTATTTGGGGATGGGAGGGGGCTACGTTCACAGACCCACAGAGCTAGACCTAACTGGCTTCAGGCTGATGTTTATGGTGGAGTGGTGCATCCTTCAGAGCTTAGTAACACTGGCTGAGTAAGAGAGACCTGCCTGTGGGTAAGGCTGAGGAGAGGTTGTCCTCACTGCACCAACTGTGCCCTGAACATTTCTGACCCTGAATTGTGTGGCACTGTGGGTGAATGCGCTGGACTATAAAACTGGTTTGAACTGCAAGGTCAGGAGTTCAAACTTACCAGTCACTCCTCGGAAACCCTATACAGGGTCACTATGAGTCAGAACCAACTCAACGGCACTAACAACAACAGCATCTTCCCTATTAAACCCATAATTGTGTGGCCTTGCAATGAATTATCGAAGCCAGCAGAGTAGAGAGCATTTGGAGGTGATAGTGGTGGTGGGGAATAGTCTGGTATTTATTTTTTGCAGACACACACAAAGGGAGAAAAGACCACATGAGGAACTATCTACAAGAAATGCTAAGGAACATCTAGGGCAATCAATAATGAAAGACCCTTCCATTGAATCAATGCCCTGATTCGGACTTTCTCAAAAACCTTGAGACACAAATTTCTGTTCTTTAAAGTTATCCAGAGAACAAACAAGATGGTGGATAGGGTAGACGTGCAGTGAGGATGTAGGTCAGCAACAATAAAGAATACTGGAGCAAGCAGGCTCAGGGGATGGTCCTAGAACTCTGAACCACATAAAAAGGACTATTTAGAAAG